TACTTCACCCCCACTGCATCCTACTGTACCCATACTGCATCCCCACTTCAACCTGCTCCACAACCCTGAGCCCCCACTGCACTCCCACCTCACTCCAGTGCACTCCACTGCAGCCCCACTGTAACCCCACTGCAACCCCACTGCACCCCAGCTGCACTCCACTGCAGTTCCTCTGCATCAATTGCATCCCCATTGAAAACCACTGCACTCTGCTGCACCCCTTGTGCACAGCATTCTATGTGTACTGCACCCCAACTGGCCACCACTGCATCCTTATTGCATCCACACTGCATATCCATTGCACCCCACTGCACTGCACTGCACTGCATCCCACATTCCCTGTCACACAACCTACCCTTCCTGGTCCCCGGGTCTGCAGGCTGCTGTCTCCCACTGCACCCCCAATGCCACCCCAAGCTCTGCAACCCCCTCTGCACCCCACACTCCTGCAGCCAGCTTCTTGCTGCACCGCATCCTAGGGCATCCTAGGGCACCCTTACCATGCCCCTCTCTGTGTGGGGAAACAGCCTGCCCCATAGCCCCACCACCCCTAGGGCTCAGAGAATGGGTGCCATGGAGTCCCATGGGGGATGGAGGGACAAGGCTGCAGCCTCCAGTGGGGAGCACAGCAGGATGGCGTCTTGGCCTGGTTGGAACACAAACGCGACTCAGACCTGGCCAGAATCAATAGATGTGTCGCCTGGTCGGAATTAAGGCACAAAGGAGGCCAGACCCTGAAACCCTTTATCAAACCCGAGTGTTTATTCCTGGAGAGATCAATGCAGGGAGAGAGGAGAGGGGGAGAGAGAGATAAGATAAGAGGAGCTGCAAGCAGATAGTCACCACTCATGGATCCAGGGGCACCTCACTGGTCATCACCCAGGGTGTTGCAGCGGTGGGAGCTCACCCTCTGAGCCTGTTCGTGTTCTTTGGGGTGTTACACAGAACTGCATGGAAAGTGCAGAGAGGGTCACAGTGATAATGATGGATGTGCTCTACTGAACGCACGGTTCTAAAGCTGGGGTTCTGCAAGGGTCCTCTGGGTGTCTGCTGTCCCTCATAGTGTGTTTGCTATCTGACCCTATCCTTTGAGTCAGCACTTTTCACAGCCCTGTGGAGGGTTATCAGCTTCGGACAAGGGGGTCGGGATGATCCTGCCTATGCAGAATTGAAACCAACATCCCTGTTGTCTGCTTCGGTTATGATAATGCTTGCAAGGCCTCGCATGGTTCAATGTAAATGGTATCTGAGGCAAGCTTGGTTTAAGACAAACTCAGTTTCCTGGCTCTCACAGCACAGTGATGGGGAGCTCAGTGGGATGATGGAGCACATCTGGGTGGTGGGGAGCTCATTGGGATGATGGAGCACATCTGGGTGGTGGGGAGCTCAGTGGGATGATGGGAACACATGTGGGTGGTGGGAGCCCAGTGGGATGATGGAGCACATCTGGGTGGTGGGGAGCTCAGTGGGATGATGGGAGCACATCTGGGTGATGGGGAGCTCAGTGGATGATGGGAGCACATCTGGGTGATGGGAAGCTCAGTGGGATGATGGGAGCACATCTGGGTGATGGGGAGCTCAGTGGGATGATGGGAGCACATCTGGGTGATGGGGAGCTCAGTGGGATGGTGGGAGCACATCTGGGTGATGGGGAGCTCAGTGGGATGGTGGGAGCACATCTGGGTGGTGGGGAGCTCAGTGGGATGATGGGAGCACATCTGGGTGGTGGGGAGCTCAGTGGGATGATGGAGCACATCTGGGTGATGGGGAGCTCAGTGGGATGATGGGAGCACATCTGGGTGATGGGGAGCTCAGTGGGATGATGGGAGCACATCTGGGTGGTGGGGAGCTCAGTGGGATGATGGAGCACATCTGGGTGGTGGGGAGCTCAGTGGGATGATGGGAGCACATCTGGGTGATGGGGAGCTCAGTGGGGTGATGGGAGCACATCTGGGTGGTGGAGAGCTCAGTGGGATGATGGGAGCACATCTGGGTGGTGGGGAGCTCAGTGGGATGATGGGAGCACATCTGGGTGGTGGGGAGCTCAGTGGGATGATGGGAGCACATCTGGGTAGTGGGGAGCTCAGTGGGATGGTGTGAGCACATCTGGGTGATGGGAGCTCAGTGGGATGATGGGAACACATCTGGGCGGTGGGGAGCTCAGTGGGATGATGGAGCACATCTGGGTGATGGGGAGCTCAGTGGGATGATGGGAACACATCTGGGTGGTGGGGAGCTCAGTGGGATGATGGGAGCACATCTGGGTGGTGGGGAGCTCAGTGAGATAATGGGAGCACATCTGGGTGGTGGGAAGCTCAGTGGGATGATGGGAACACATCTGGGTGATGGGGAGCTCAGTGGGATGATGGGAGCACATCTGGGTAGTGGGGAGCTCAGTGGGATGATGGAGCACATCTGGGTGATGGGAGCTCAGTGGGATGATGGGAACACATCTGGGCGATGGGAGCTCAGTGGGATGATGGAGCACATCTGGTGATGGGGAGCTCAGTGGGATGATGGAGCACATCTGGGTGATGGGGAGCTCAGTGGGATGATGGGAGCACATCTGGGTGGTGGGGAGCTCAGTGGGATGATGGGAGCACATCTGGGTGGTGGGGAGCTCAGTGGGATGATGGAGCACATCTGGGTGGTGGGGAGCTCAGTGGGATGATGGGAGCACATCTGGGTGGTGGGGAGCTCAGTGGGATGATGGGAGCACATCTGGGTGATGGGGAGCTCAGTGGGATGATGGGAGCACATCTGGGTGGTGGGGAGCTCAGTGGGATGATGGGAGCACATCTGGGTGATGGGGAGCTCAGTGGGATGATGGGAGCACATCTGGGTAGTGGGGAGCTCAGTGGGATGGTGTGAGCACATCTGGGTGATGGGGAGCTCAGTGGGATGATGGGAACACATCTGGGCGGTGGGGAGCTCAGTGGGATGATGGAGCACATCTGGGTGATGGGGAGCTCAGTGGGATGATGGGAACACATCTGGGTGGTGGGGAGCTCAGTGGGATGATGGGAGCACATCTGGGTGGTGGGGAGCTCAGTGAGATAATGGGAGCACATCTGGGTGGTGGGGAGCTCAGTGGGATGATGGGAGCACATCTGGGTGGTGGGGAGCTCAGTGGGATGATGGGAGCACATCTGGGTGGTGGGGAGCTCAGTGGGATGATGGGAGCACATCTGGGTGATGGTGAGCTCAGTGGGATGATGGGAGCACATCTGGGTGATGGTGAGCTCAGTGGGATGATGGAGCACATCTGGGTGATGGGGAGCTCAGTGGGATGATGGAGCACATCTGGGTGATGGGGAGCTCAGTGGGATGATGGGAGCACATCTGGGTGATGGGGAGCTCAGTGGGATGATGGGAGCACATCTGGGTGATGGTGAGCTCAGTGGGATGATGGAGCACATCTGGGTGATGGGGAGCTCAGTGGGATGATGGAGCACATCTGGGTGATGGGGAGCTCAGTGGGATGATGGGAGCACATCTGGGTGATGGGGAGCTCAGTGGGATGATGGGAGCACATCTGGGTGATGGGGAGCTCAGTGGGATGATGGAGCACATCTGGGTGGTGGGGAGCTCAGTGGGATGATGGGAGCACATCTGGGTGGTGGGGAGCTCAGTGGGATGATGGGAGCACATCTGGGTGATGGGGAGCTCAGTGGGGTGATGGGAGCACATCTGGGTGGTGGGGAGCTCAGTGGGATGATGGGAGCACATCTGGGTGATGGGGAGCTCAGTGGGGTGATGGGAGCACATCTGGGTGATGGGAAGCTCAGTGGGATGGTGCGAGCACAGCTGAGTAGCTGGGAGAACAGCCAGGAAGGGTTGAGCAACCACAGCCCAAAGGTGCCTTCCCATTGCAACCTCACTGGCTGCAGGCAGGCAGGGTCAGGAAGGGAAATCCCACTTTTCTCCTGCCTTCATCCACCCTGGTCACCTCCCAAGGAGGAAAGCCAGGGAAGAACTCTCTGCAGGCAGCAGCCCAACACCATGAGGCCTGTGGGCAGAGCTTTCTGCTCCATGCTCAGGAGCACAGAGGACACCCCACTGATGTCATAGCACCCAGCCGCCCCACTGGTGGACCCGCTTGGCCATGCCTCTGGCACCTCTCCATGGCTTAGGGCCACATGTGGGGAAGGGGAGGAGTTAGGGACATCTGCAACCTCACCCTGAAGGTGATGCATGGCATTGGAGCAGAGCCAGCCCTGCTGCATCCTCAGAGTAGATGACAACATGGACCTTCCTGGCTGGGCTTGACGTGGCATGGACCAGCCTCTACATGGGGTCCCTCTTTTGGGAGAAGGGGCAGGTCACCCCCCAACAAGTGGTATGTGGTGTGACAGGACTGCCATCCTGATGTCTATCCACCCTACACCAGTGCCATCAGCTACACTCTCTTCTAGGACAGTGGCAAGAGATTCTGGAGGCAGCCAGTACATCCATCCCACCCCATAGAGGATGTGGGCACCCTGTGCAAGAGCCAGTGACCACTTTGCCAAGCACAGCGTGCCATGCCATGTCTGCAACTACTGCTGACAAGTGATCCATGTCCCGAGCCCTGGGAGCAGGACAGGGCACACAACAGCATGCTGCCAACGCCACTGGTTCAGCTGTGACAGCACCAGCTCATGTGCTGGATGTGACCCACCAAGGACCTGATGACCAAGGGACCACGGCTGCAGCACCACCGCCTCCCCAGCATTGCCCATCATGGCCCCTTCCCTTGCAGAAGGATGGGACACCACATAGCCTGTGCTGTAAGCGGTCTCCCCTGTGCCCCACAGCCCCAGCAACACGTTCTCCAGGCCCAGCTGCAGCAGGAAGACATCAGGCAGTGGGGCAGGCGGGAAGAAAGTACCTCTGCCTCATGGTGCATGGCCTGGGAGTTTCTCAGAGGCTGTAAATAGCCAAGTTTCCCTTCTGCTCATCTCGAAAGTGAGAAAGGGAACATCCCCTGAGGAGGGGGAAAGAACTGGTCGATTGTCATCACTGGTACAAAAGCTATTTTTAATTGTATTAAAATGTGTCTCTCCTATAAAATTCCAAAACATCCGGTGCCTCTGCTATAAGGATCTGTGGCTGTGAGTGAACCATCATCCCTGGGTCTGCATATGGTGGTGCTCACGGTGGGATGCACCCTGTGTCAGGGGACCCCCGAGGCTCCTCTTTGTGATCCGGGGAGGTGTGGGCATCGCCGGGGGAGCAGGGCACCCTGGGCCCCCCTTCCAATAGGGGCACATAGGGGATGTAGTGGCCGAGGGTGCCTGGGTAGGTCTGCGGCCGGAGCAGGAGCTGGTGCAGGGTCTCCCCGACTTGCACCAGGCTGTGGGAGAGGAGGTGGAGGTGGGAGACGGTGTCGCTGGCCAGGCTCTCCAGCAGCGCCTGCTGCTGCCGGGATGTCTGCAGGATCTGCACCAGGATCTGCTGCACGCTCTGGAGCAGCCCCGACACCCCGGAGCCTGCGATGAGGAGAAGCTCAGTGGCTGCAAACCCTGCCCGCAGCTTGGAGAGCCCCCTGTTGGGATGCTGCAGGGAGGACCCACCGTGCAGGATGGAGCCGGATGCCTCCTCGCCCGCTGCTGGCTGCTCGCTCACGGCAGCCGTGCCCGGGGAGCACAGGGATGGGGTGGCTGCCGGCAGGGATCGGCTTCCTCTTGCCATCCCCAGGGATGTCTCACCAGGAAAACCTGCCACAGCGGTTTGGCATGGAGGAAGGAACCAGAGTGCCTGCAGGAGCCCCTGCCCTCTGTCCCCATGGGCAGGACACAGGGGAAGGGAGACTTGCTTGAAGGCACAGACACTCACCAGCCTTCTGCTCAACAGCTTCCTGCTTCAGGGCAGTGTGACAGCCTGAAAGGAGAGCAGACACAGCCTGTGAGCTGCAGCTACCTCCCGCTGCAGGGCACCTGAGCACGGTGGCCAGTGCATGGTACTCACCCAGGAATGGAAGGGGAGGGACACAGCGACCGGCATCTGCAATGAGAACCGTATCAGACCCTGCTTGCGGGGCCGAGGGGGTTTACTGCACTGAGCAGGGCAAGGGAAGCCTTACGTGGCATGGTGTGGGGAGCATGCAGCCCTCCAGCGACGTGGTCCCCATCCACTGCTGGGAGAGAACAGAGAGGAGAGATGCGTCGTCTGATGGGACCTGCTGGGGGGGGTCACCACCAGCCCAGGGTCTGCCAGGTCAGCCCCGCAGCCTGACATGCCTTAGCCACAGCTCCACAGTGCCCTGCAGGGCCCCAAAGCATTTCACAAGCTAGATACAAAAGCAGGAGTCACTCACTCACCACTGCAATGCAGCCACCTCTGGGCTGGAAGGCAGCAGCGGCGTAGCAGCACGCAGCAACACTACACAACAGACTAGGGCTGGAAGTGAAGGAGAATCCCACATCCACTTGAAACTGCAGGGGGAATTTAGGGAGACAGGTGATTACCCAGTGCGGAATGCTGGCTGGGGCGCCCTCACAAATCAGATCCAGGGACATAATCTGTATCACCTCTGTGCCAAACCCCTGCGATGTGCAGTGAGAGGGATGCAGGAGATGCCCCTGGGTGGGCTGCAGGGCAGGGGAGCTGCAGCACCTCTGGCCCTCACACCCAGCCCTAATTCATCTGAAGATCTATGGTGTTAGCAGGGAAGCAGGAGCCAGGGCCTGCTGGAGGAAGGGGTGTCATGCCCTGCAGTGATATACAGCTGCCAGAGCCCCCTGGCCTCATCCTTCAGAGATCTAAAGCCATGAGGCAGCCCTCAGACTGGTACAGAGCTGGGGAACCCCTTGTGCCCTGTCCCAGCCATCCCCTCATGCTCTGGGACTGGTTTGGAGTCAAAGCCCCTGGACAGAGAAGTCCCAACTGCTGAGGGACTTGTGATGGGGCCCCCAGCCCCCTAAGCCCTTCAAGCCCTCCATTCCCACCATGCTGGCATGGGCTTGGGCTGGAGCCGTGGCTGTGCAGCCCGGTGCAGCGGGGCAGACCGGTACTTACGGGCCTCTGGCTCATCCTTCACACACCGCAGCAGCGGGGACATCAACGTTCCCGGGGTTTCCCCGTCAACGTTGTGCTCTGCAGGGGGGGTGAGTGGGTGCAGAAAACAGCTTCAACAACCAGGACACAAGGGGTGCCTGACACCCCACAGCCAGGACAAGCCCCCACCCCTGCTGCCTGAGCCCACGGGTACCTGGTGGCTCTGGTGAGGATGAAGAGCAGGCAGCATGGGCTGACCTGCGCTTCCTGGAGGGCAGCTTCGCCATGTCTAGCGGAAGAGAAACAGACCGTCAGCAGACCCCGGGTGGCCGCGCAGCACCAGCGCTAACCCAGCATCCAGCAACCCTGCCAAACCCATTTACCCATCCCAGCACTCACCTGGCATCCTCCGCTCCCCGAACACGGGCCGCCCAGCAGCCTTCCATATGCTCTTCATGGCTCGGTAGTGCGGAGGCAGGCGGGCTGAGTGATGTCCTGCCCTCTGCCGCGTCTCCCGCTCCGAGTGGAAAGCCTGCTTCAGCGCCTTCCACTTGGAGCGGCACTGGGCGACGCTGCGCGAGTACCCGGCCGCTGCCAGCCCTTGGGATATCTCCCTCCACAGCGCCTCGTTGGGTCGCGATGTGGAAGCCATGAGCAGGGCGGCCTCCCCCGAGCCCTCCACCAGCGCCAGCAGGCTGCTGACCTCCGCCTGCGTCCAGGCTCGCCCGCGGGGCATGCTGCCAGGGCGGGGGAAGCTCAGCTCCGGACCGAGGTGCGGCACCCCCGAGGGCACCGGGACCAGCACCGAAACCAGCACCGGGAACAGCACCGGGACCAGCACCGGAACCAGCACCGGGACCCGCACCGGAGGCAGCACCGGGACACGCAGGGAGCTGCACCCGGAGCAGCACCGGGAGCTGCACCCGGAGCAGCACCGTAGCCGCACCGAGCGCCCCTGCGCTGCACCGGGCGCCGCGGCGGGAGCTGCCGGGAGGCCGCACGGAGCATGTGCAGCGCCGGGAGGAGCCGCTGGGAAACGTAGTCCCAGCCACGCCACCCAGCGCATCCCCGTCCAGGCGGGCGCGGCGCAGGGACCGGGGTCTGAGCCTGCCCGCCTGTAGCGGTGGTGACCCCCGGGTAGGAAGGGCTCTCCCGCGGCTGGGGGACCCTGCCCTCCGCCCCCATGGCCATCACGGCAGCACTCAAGGCTCTGGGATGGGGTGCAGAACCCCAGTGTTCAGAGTGCAGAGCGTGGAGATGCAGGAGGGGCCCTGCTCCCCAAGGATGCACAGCCCCATGGGGCAGATAGGCTGAGCACTGGGGGGCTGTGGCTGTCCCAACATTGTGGGGGGGAACACAGGAATCTAGCTGACCTTTAAAGGCCCCTTCTAACCCGAAACCATGCTGTGACCTTTCAGTTCTTAGAAGGGGCCTATAAGGAGGATGGGGAGAAACTTTTTCGCACGGCCTGTTGCAATAGGACTGGGAGCGATGGTTTTGATCTAGAAGAGGGGATATTCAGGCTGGATGTGAGGAAGGAATTCTTTACAGAGAGGGTGTAAAACACTGGCACAGATTGCCCAGAGGGATGGATGCCCCATCCCTTAAGGCCAGCCTGGGTTGTTCTGGGCAACCCGATCTAGATGAAGATGTCCTTGCTCATTGCAGGGGGTTGGACTAGGTGAGCTTTGAAGGTCCCTTCCAACCCAAATGACTCTGATTCTACTCTACAGTCCCATGTCTGAGCTAGCAGCCACCCCCACAGCTCCCTGTCCCACAGTGTGAGCGCAGGGTTCCCTCATGCAGGGAATGCCTGGGTGTCAGCCTCATGGGGCTCCCCCTTGCCCCACTCGGTCAGTCACTATCATCACTGTGACCCCCCCAGGGTTCTGTCCCAGGTGGTGCCCCTGGGGACCCCACCAGGAAGTGACACTTTCCATTTCGCGTCACAGCCAGCTGCCAAAAGGGGCTGGGAAGGGGTTGCTGCTTCCCCTGTGGGTGCAGAGCAAGAGACTGAGTGAGGGAGGGATGGACGAGGGGGTCACGTACGCTGATCTGCGCTTGCCCCCCACCCCAGGTAATGGTGAGCTGCTCCCAGCCCCTGGCACCATAGAGGATGCCCTGCCCTTCTGCAGCACCTTGCCTTCTGTGGGATCATTCCTCTGACCCCCTCTTTTGGGTACCCTCTCCCAGACAGCTCTTCTCCAGCACTGTTACACTCTGCTTCCTCATGGGGCAGGGGACAGGAGGAGCTCAAGGTCAGGGGGTGCCCACTGCACCCCACTCTGCTCTCCCTGCCTCATGCCAAGCTCTGTCTGCAGCGAGACACTAATAGGATCAAGGTGCTGCAAACAGGCTCTCCCTCAGTTTTCCTGGGTTCCCCAACTGACTTCTGAGACCCTGACCAGGGTTCATAGGCATCTCCTGGATGGGGGTGTCCCCACTGCTCCAACAAAGCCCCCAGAGTCGAGGTTAACTCTGCTTTTCAGCTCCCCAGCAGACGGTGCGGATGCCCTGGTGCTGGGCTGCCCTCAGCCTGGCTGTCTTCTCCCTGCTGCTCCTGCTGGCACAAATCATCCTCATCAGCTTGAGCTTCCACTGTGAGTACCTGGAGCTCTCTGGTTGGGGTGTTGGGGTTGGCACCATGGGGACAATGTGCCAACAGACAGAGCTCATGTCCCAGGGATCCTCCTACTTGGGGCTGAGGGTGTTGCGGGTTCTGGAGCAAGCAGGAAAGTTAGTGAGGCAAGACCGTGCGTGCCTGTCTGGGAGAGGAAGGCGATGGGATGGCATGGGCTTGGGGACTGCGTCAGGGCATCCTGCTCCATCACATGGCAGTGAAATGAAGATGGGAGAGTGGTGATGCTGAAACCGAAAGAAACACTTTCCCCGAAAGCCTGTTCTGTGATGGGCTCCCAAGCACAGCAAAACCCACAAGGAGATTGTCGAGCTCGGCTGGCAGGTCACCTAAAGGGGGTTGTCCCATGGGAGAGGCCTCTTGGTGCTGCTGGGAACAGGAGCACAGGGTTGGCAGCGGCAGTCTTTTATTCTTCTTCTGTAGATCTAGGACAACAGGCGAGCTGCACCCGTGGTGCTTGGAGCGGGGAGGAGAGCCCCAGCTACGGGCGACAGACGCAGCGAGGTAGGAAAACCTGGTGGGCTCCTTGGAGAGGGTTTGGAGGGGGATCTGGGGTGTTCTTTTCAATAGTGAGGACCTGTCCCTGCTCCAGAATGTGCCTCCCCCCAGCCTTCCTTCACCCTTGCTGCCTGTCCCTGGCTTATACCACGGTGCTGCCCTGGTGCTGCTGAACAGGCTGCACCCCTGGGATCCCTTGGAAGAGATGGCCCCAGCATGGCTCTGCATTGCCCAGGCACTCCACTAGCACCAAGATCATGTTTTCCAGGTGCTGGACAGCACTGGGGGCTGTCTTTCAACCAGTCTCTGGTGAAGCTGAAATCTTGACTGCATTCCCAGTGCTTTGCAAATGATGTTTGTATCACAACCCCAAACCTGGAGCTCCCTTTGCTAACCCATCTGCCTGATGCCATCACCTTCATGTAACCAGCCTGTTGCACTGGGATGCGAGAGCTGCGCTCCAGAGCAAGGGCAAGCAGAGGGTCCTCTCCAAGGGGGTATCCATAGCAGTACATTGGGTTGGTTGGTACCCTGGCCACCCCTTGTCACCGTCCTGTGCCTTGGGCTGCAAGCTGTGTTTCTGGTGTGCAGGGGGATGCCAGTTCTGCCCAGCCGGCTGGCTCTGGGATGCAGGGCAGTGCTACTACTTCTCCTTCACCAAGAAGAGCTGGGATCAGAGCAGAGAGGACTGCTGCTCCAGAGGGGCACAGCTGGCCACCGCCCGAACCAACACCACCCTGGTGAGCGCACCCATCTCAGCTCCCTGGCTCTCACCCTCATGCCCAAAGCCTAGCTAAGTCTCCAGATAAAGAGCTGGAGGTGCTGTGTGTGTACTCTGCAACCCCCATCACTGGGAGGGCCTGGGTTTTCCCCCCAGGTAGCTCATCCAGGTCCTCTCTTGTGCTAGGCTTTCCTGATGCGCACAGCCAACACAGAGGTCTTCCACGTGGGGCTGAAACGGGGTGGCTCCAGGTCTGACTGGAAGTGGCTGGATGGCACCGCACTGAAGGGGTGAGGCTGCCTGGTTGTCCCTATCCAGGAATGCTGAGGGAGGTGATGGGGAGACAGGCAGCCCACTTGCATGTGAGGGTGATGTCAGGGTCCAGTTGGAGAAAAAACCCAGTGCCAGACCCTGTTTCAGATCATGATCCCAAGAGTGAAATTAAGACACAAATGAGGTCAAGTGCCATAACTGGATGCTTTGTTTATTACAAATTGCAAAAAGAGAGTTATAAAAAAGGGAAGTTATAATAAAGGGGATATTGATAGAACAGATTGGAAAAAAGGTAGAAAATGAAGCAAGGATTCGGGGTGTAGAGAGAGAGAGATAGAGAAAGTCACCACCCTGGATCCAGTGGTGTCCCAGGGATCCGCTGTCATTGTCATTGGTGGTGGGAGTTCTTCAGGGTTCGTAGTCGGTATCAGAGCAGAGTGTTCCCCAAGAGTCCATCGGAGGTGGGTGTCTTCGTGGAGGCATCCTTCTTGAGGCCCCTTGAAGGTACCCCATGGAGTGTGTCTCATGGAGGGTGCCCCTCAGGATCCATAGTACTCATCGGTGGAGAGTGTCCTCACAGAGGTGTCCTTCTGGAGCTACCCTCACGGCAATGGCTCGCTGGCAATGTGTTTCTTGGTGGTTACCTTTTCCCCTTTGTCAAGAGCTGGGGGGAGAACCTCTGTTCATGTCACATATTACACGTTCCTGGTGGACCAGTTTCCCTGGTCTTGCAGCCAGCTCTTTGACACACGTGTCTGCAGTGATCCTTGGGATAGTAGCTCACACCAATCCTCAAAGTAATGGATGGAAGAGTCTTAGCTCTTTCCCACTCACCCCTCAGGCAATGGGTTGTCGAGTCCCAGTTCAGCTCCTCACACCCTTCTCCCAGGCAATGGATATTGGAGTCTTACCTCAACTCCTCCCACCCATCTCTGAGACAGGAGATAGGTGGATTTCCAGCTCAGTTTCTCAGACCAATCTTTGAGACAGTGGGCAGTGGAGTCTGACTTCAGATCAGTCTCTCACAGATGTGCTCCACATTTTGGCTACCTCTTGTCTCCCGAGGGCTGCACTGGGAAGGGATGGTGCTGACTTCCCACCTGGGTGAGGAGCTGGGATGGCTCCACAGAATCAGGTTTTCAGGCTTTTCTTAGCGCAGCTGGTGCTGAGTCCTGCCAGGAAAGACCTGGGGGTGCTCTGTGCATGATGGGGATGGGAGCTGCATCTCAAACAGGCATGGGTAGGGTTGGGGGGATCAGAGCATGTGCCTTAATTAAGAAGAGGGTGTCAGGGCACAGAGCTCCCTGGAGAGGGTGAGCTTTGCCCCCATAGCATCCCTGATCACTGTCCCGAGGAGCTGCTGATGGCAGAACCCCAGCCCTTCCTGTCCATCCCATCTCTGCCCTCTCTCTCCCTGCAGGCTTTTCCCAATCCATCGCTCCACCAGCTCCTTCCTGGCCTGTGGCAGGGTGTCAGGGCTGGGGCTGTCGGGTGGTCCGTGCGGGGAAGCCCTGGGCTGGGTCTGTGAGCAGCGCTCATCCACCCTGCAGTGGGTCCGGTCCTCACCACCCGCCCTCCTCTGGGGAAACACCACCTACACCTGCACTGGGCCCTGATGACCATGGGGACCTCCAGCCTGTCCCATCGCAATGCACTGGCATCCCTTGGTGCTGCTGCTTCCTCATTCAGATGCTTCACCCCGCTGGATCTCTGCAATCTGCCAATAAACGCTGGCACTTGAATGCTGTGGCTGGTTTGGGGGGATGAGGGTGGTGGGATGGAGGTGCATCCTCTGGTGCCGACCCAGTCACGTTGCTACTGGGTGGAAAATTGCACTGGAGGAAGTGGCATCGATCTGAGCACCCTCATGTCCTGGGGGCAGCTTGGAAAAGCTCCTGTGCAGGCTGGAGCAGATCCCTGCTTTTGGTTGTGGTGGTGGCTGTCCAGGGTTTATCCTGCTTGGGTAAGCATCCCTGGTCACATGGAGGGCTGGGCAGCAGCCCTTATCTCCTGGTTTCCATCCAGTCTGAGGAGGTCACAGCAAATGCCCTCACTTTGCCTTGAGGCTGGGTGATGGGTGAGAGGCTAAAAGGTCTGCAGGGTCTTGGTTTGGAGGGGTTTGGCCCTGAGGGCTATTATGGTTTTGATATAGACCACATGGGTCTATACCAGCAGCATGCAGCTCCAGCATGGACATCCCTGGGAGTCTGTCCTTAGGAATGTTGAGGACAGAGCTCCACAGTCACTGCAGAGTGCCTCCAAGCAGGAGATGGGAAGGTGCTGCATGGGGGCGCACAGCCCTGGAGTGCCCAGCATGCAGGGACTCATGGGGCTCCTAAGAGCATGGGGACATGGCGGCAGAGTGCACTGCCCGGGAGGAGCTGGTTCACCCCCACAGTGCACATCACAGCAAGAGCACCCTCAGAAAAACCCCATTTGCAAATTAAAACACTTCTGCTTTTCCGATCAAGAGGTGTCTCCACCCAACGGGGGTTTGGCCAGGGCAAGGCAGCAGCGAGCCCTCACTCTGCTGCTGCCTGGGGCACCTGCAAGCATGGCCCAGAGCGTGGTCTACGCCGACCTGAAGTTCGCAGCATCCGTGCCCTCCTGCCCCGCAGCCCCTGATGAGGACGACAGCCCCTATGAGAACGTGCTGCTGGGGACGGTGCCTGCAGAGCCCAGCCCAGGTCAGAGCCCGGCCACCGACATGGAGATACTGTGGGGTAGGGTGGGCAGTGGGGGGAGGCAGTGGGACCATGGGTGATGCTGTGCTCATAGCACACCTCATCTCATCTCATCTCATGTCACCTCTTGCAGGGCGATGTCCCCGGCGCTGGCGTGTCCCCATGGGGCCGCTGGCCGTCAGCCTGCTGGTGCTGCTGGTGCTGCTGGTGGTGGGTACCGTGGCCCTGGGGACCTGCTGTGAGTCTGGGTGAGGGCTGTGGGGTGGGGGGAGATGAAGGGTGGCACTGGGAATGGGTGCTACCCACTCCCTGGGGACCTGCTGTGAGTGTCTGGGAACTACCCAGGTCCTGGGGACCTGCTGTGTGGCTGGGCAAGGTATGGGATGCTGGGGGTTGTTGGGTCCAAGGGGTCCCGGAGGATGGTGATCTGAGGCTGGCGTTGCTTTTGGCTTGGCCAGCCTGAGCTCCCCTGTCTGCCTGCATTGCTTTTCCTGTGCCTACCACTGCTTCTCACTGCCTATTGTAGAATTACAGCATCATAGAATGGTTTGGGTTGGAAAGGACCTTAGGATCATCCAGTTCCAACGCACCTGCTGTGCGCAGGGACACCTCACACTAAACCATGTCACCCAAGGCTCTGTCCAACCTGGCCTTGAACACCGACAGGGATGGAGCATTCAGAGCTTCCTTGGGCAGCCTGTTCCCAGCACCTCATCACCCTCACTGCTTCCCACTGCCTCAGACTGCTTCCACACCTTTCTTGTTGCCTCCCACTCCCTTCCATTGTCCTTCCACTGCCTTCCCATTGCCTCCCACTGGCACAAATTGCCTCCCTTCCACTTACCCCCACAGACCCTTCCCTTCCCACCGGCACTCCAGCACAGTCCCTGCCCACATCCCAGCACCCCCATCCCGTGTCCCTCGCCATGGCCCTGGGTGCGCGGGTCGGGCGCTGGTGCCCGTGCCCGGGCTGTGCCAGCGCCGTGCCCATCCCTGTGCCCGTGCCCAGACTGGCAGGTCACCCGCAGCCTGCGGGACGCCTCCCGGGAGCACGCGGCCGAGCAGGGCCGCCTGGAGCAGGAGCTGAGCGCCCGGGAGCAGCGCCTGGAGCAGACGCGGCTGGAGCTGGGGAGGGCCAGAGCGGAGCTGGGGCGCGCCTGGCGGGACGGCAACAGCAGCCGAGCGGCGCTGGAGCGGCAGGACATGGAGCTGGGGCGCGCCAGGCAGGAGCTGGCCGAGCTGCGCAGGGATGTGCAGCGCCTGCAGGGAGAGCTCAACAGCAGCCAGAGCACCGTGGCCAGCCTGCGCGCCTGCGTGAACACGGGTAGGGCCGTGCCGGGCTGCGGGACGGGCGGGGATGCTGCCGGGGAGATGAGGGGCTCAGCCCGGACAGGATGGGCCCCCCCAGCATCCTTGTGACGGCGAGCGCCTGAGCCGTGCCCCTGTCCCCAGAGTGCTGCCCCTCGGGCTGGGTGCTCTACAGGGGCAAGTGCCTCTTCATCTCCGTGGAGAGCAAGACGTGGAAGGACAGCCATCAATACTGCCAGAGGACATCCGCCCAGCTGCTGGTCCAAGCCGACTGGGCATCGTGGACAGCGCCGGTACAGAGCAGAGGGGCTGCAGCACCGCAGGGATGGGGGCAATGCTGGGGTGGGCAGATCCAGCAGCAGCAGCGCTGCAGAGGTGCTGGGTGGCACCGCCAGATCCAGGACTCTCGGGCACCTGATGGGCTCTGGGCATGGGGAAGGCAGTTGACAGCTTCTATCCCTCAGCTCTTCATGCAGGGGAATGGCGCCGTGTACTGGGTCGGGGAGAGATACAGAGGTCATCTCGATTCACGTGAGGACAGGTATGGATGGCCATATAAAGAGCAGGTTGTTCCATCTTGGACACCTGCATCTCTCGCAGCTTCACCAGCCATGGGGAAATGCTCTGGGCACTGCCCTGGCATCTGTCCTTGACATGGGACTAATGCTTGAACGAGGGCAGTGGCCTGATCCTCTTGCCCAAGCTAAGAGGCCCTGAGGCTGCAGCTGTGTGGGGTACAGCATGGTGGCAGCAGGATGAGAGCACGGTGATGGCACCTCTCACGTGTTCCCTCCCTTCTTGGAACAGAAGTTGGGTCTGTCCGGGAATATCCTATGGAGAGATGGAAAGATTCTACTGCTCAAGAAAATTGCCATGGATCTGTGAGAAGCTGCCAGATGTGAGGAGCACGTCCAAGACCGTCCCTCCTCTCCCAGCCAAGTGGTAACTCTGGAACACCATTTCCACCATACATCGGAGTGATTGGAGCGCAGGGTGCACAGCAGAGACACCTTTTCCCTCCTGCACAGCCACATTCCTGTATACTGTTGTTCTCCAAAGCTATTGCACTGGAAAGCTATTTTAAAGGCATACAGATTCATAGAATCATAGAATGGTTTGGGTTGGAAAGGACCTTGAGATCATCCAGTTCCAACCGTCTGCCATGGGCAGGGTTGCTTCATGCTAGACCGTGTTGCTCAAGGCTCTGTCCAACCTGGCCTTGAACACGGCCAGGGATGGAGCATTGGCATCCTCCCTGGCTAACCCATTCCAGTGCCTCACCACACTTACTACAGTAAAGAACTTCTTCCTTATACCTAACCTGAACTTCTCCTGTTTCACTTTGAACCCGTTACCCCTTGTCCTATCACTACAATTCCTAATGAAGAGTCCCTCCCCAGCATCCCTATAGGCCCCCTTCAGATACTGGAAGGCTGCTAAGAGGTTTCCATGCAGCCTTCTCTTCTCCAGGCTGAACAGCCCCAACTTTCTCAGCCGATCTTCATATGGGAGCTGCTCCAGTCCCCTGATCATTCTCATGGCCTCCTCTGCACTTGTTCCAACAGTTCCATGTCCTTTTTATGTTGAGGACACCAGAACTGCACACAATATTCCAAGTGAGGTCTCATGAGAGCAGAGTAGAGGGGCAGGATCACCTCCTTCGACCTGCTGCTGGTCACACTCCTTTTGATGCAGCCCAGGATACAGTTGGCTTTCTGGGCTGCGAGCGCACGCTGAAGCCAGCTCATGTTCATTTTCTCATTGACCAACACCCCCAAGTCCTTCTCCTCAGGGCTGTTCTAAATCTCTTCTCTGCCCAGCCTGTAGCTGTATCTGGGATTGCTCTGACCCAGGTGTAGGACCTTGCACTTGTCATGGTTAAACTTCATGAGGTTGGCATCAGCCCAGCTCACAAGCGTGTCAAGGTCCCTCTGGATGGCATTCCTTCCCTCCAGCGTATCAACCAAACCACACAGCTTGGTGTCATTGGCAAACTTGCTGAGGGCACACTCAATCCCACTGTCCATGTCAGCGACAAAGATGTTAAACAAGACCGGTCCCAACACCGATCCCTGAGGGACACCACTCATTACTGGTCTCCAGATGGACATTGAGCCATTGACCACAACTCTTTGTGTGCGGCCATCCAGCCAGTTCTTTATCCACTGAGTGGTCCATTCATCAAATTGATGTCTCTCCAATTTAGAGACAAGAATGTCGTGTGGGACAGTCTTGAACGCTTTGCACAAGTCCAGGTAGATGATATCCACTGCTTTACTGCTGTCCATCAGCTCTGTAGCCCCATCACAGAAGGTCATCAAATTGGTCAGGCAGGATTTCCCCTTAGTGAAGCCATGCTGGCTGTCACCAAGCACCTTGTTGATTTTCATGTGCCTTAGCATGCCTTCCAGGAGAATCTGCTCCAAGATTTTGCCAGGCACAGAGGTGAGACTGACTGGTCTGTAATTCCCTGGGTCATCCATTTTCCCCTTCTTGAAAATGGGGGTTATATTTCCCTTTTTTCAGTCATCAGGAAGTTCACTTGACTGCCACGATTTTTCAAATATGATGGACAGCAGCTTAGCAACTTCATTTTCCAGCTCCTTCAGGACCTGTGTATGGATTTTGTCAGGTGCCATGGACTTGTGCACATTCAGATTTTTACGATGGTCTCGAACCAGATCCTCTCCTATAGTGGGCCTGAGGTCTTCATTCTCACAGTCCCTGCAAGACTTGGGTGATGTGGTCAGAGCCTTTGCCAGTGAAGACTGAGGCAAAGCAGTCATTCAGAACCTCAGCCTTCTCCAAATCCAGGGTAGCCGGTTCTCCAGATAGCTTCTGGAGGGGGCCTATGTTGTCCCTAGTCTGTCTTTTATTTGCTACCTACCTATAGAATCCCTTCCTGTTATCCTTAACATCCCTAGCCAAGTTTAATTCTAACTGGGCCTTAGCTTTCCTAACCTGGTCCCTAGCTTCCCAGACAACATCCCTGTATTCTTCCCAGGCTGCCTGTCCTTGCTTTTGCCTTTTATAAGCCTCTTTTTTCATTTGAATTTTCCTCAGCAGCTCCTTATCCTTCCAAGGAGGTCTGCTGGCCCTCCTGCTGCACTTCCTTCTAGTTGGGATGCAACACTCCTGAGCTTGTAGCAGGTGATCCCTGAATATCAATCAACAGTCTTGGGCCCCCTGCCCTGTAGGGCTATATCCCATGGAACCTTACTGAGCAGATTCCTGAAGAGGGCAAAGTCTGCTCTCTTGAAGTCTAGGGCAGTGAGCTTGCTGCACACTCTTCTCACTGTCCTGAGGATCTTGAACTTGACCATCTCATGATGGCTACAACCAAGGCTGCCCTGGAGTGTCACATTTCCAACCAGCCCTTCACTGTTGGTGAGCATGAGGTCAAGCATGGCACCTCCCCTCGCTGGCTCCTCTGTTACTTGCAGAAGTTGTCTTCTCACACAGTCGAGGAACCTTCTGGATTGCTTATGCTGGGCTGTACCGTCCCTCCAACAGATATCAGGGTGGTTGAAGTCCCCCATGAGAACAAGGGCCTGTGAGCGTGAGGCTGTTCCTATCTGTCTATAGAGTGCTTTATCCACAGAGTCCTCTTGATCAGGCAGTCTGTAACAGATCCCCACAATAATGTCCCCTGTAGCTGTTCTCCCTTTAACCCTGACCCACAAGCTCTCTGTTATCTGCTCACCTCTCCCCAGACAGAGTTCCATACTCTCCAGCTTATCCCTAACAGAAATACCAACTCCCCCTCCCCGCCTGCCAGGCCTGTCTTTTCTAAAGAGCCTGTAACCTTCCATTCCAACACTCCAGCCATAGGAGCCATCCTACCATGTTTCGGTGATGCCTATAATGTCATACCCCCATAGACGTGCACATATCTCTAATTCCTCTTGTTTGTTCCCCATGCTACAGGCCTTTGTATAGAGGCATCCGAGCTGAGCTCCAAATGAAGCTGGCTCATTGGCTGGAGCAGCTGGAATACCTCTACATTGCTCTGAGCATTTATTATAGGTGCTGGCAACTGACTGGGAGTGTTGGGATGGAATGATGCCCCCTCCCCCAACACATCTGGTTTAAAGCATGCTTGACCAGTCTGGCAAGCATCCTACCAAAACTGCTCTTCCCCTTCAGACCAGCTCCACCAGCCCCCGCTAGACCTGGCCTACAAACTTGGGTCCCATGTTCAAGACACCCAAACCCCTGACTCTGACACCACCTTTTAACCATTTATTAACCTGGCCAATCCTCCTAGCTTTTTTTAGGTCCTCCCCTGTATCCTGGAGAATTGACGAAAAGACTATCTGAGCTCCAGAGCCCCTAACTACCTCTCTCAGGGCTCTGTAGTCCTTCTTTCCAGGCTCCTATTATCTCTATCTTTATCACCCACATGGATCACTAGAAGTGGGTAATAGTCAGTAGGACTTACTAGAGCAGGCAGCCTCTCTGCCACATCCCTGATCCATGCCCCTGGTAGGCAACACACCTCCCCTGAGACCAGGTCAGGCCGACAGATCAGTGCTTCTGTCCCTTTCAAAGTAGAGTCCCCTACTACTACGACCCGCCGCTTTTTCCTGGCAGCACCAGCAGAGATCTGCTTTACCAGTGCACCAATCGGTTGTTCATGGTGCGAGTGCACTTACTCTTGAGCCCCCTGCAGGACAGCAAAGCGGTTCTGCATGGGAACAACAGATTTTAGGAGGAAGCCCCTTGCTTTTCATTGTCCTCTTCCTCCTTTTTTTGTTGTTAGGACCTTCAAATGACTGCCGTGATTTTTTCTAATGTGACGGGCAGGTCTGTATTTTACAACAAGGCTTACAGGAAAGAGACTGTATTTCTGTGTTCTATACTCATGCTCATGCTTACATCCCCAGCCCCTGCTCTCCAGCCCTGGACCCAGGGAGAGGACACCAGTAACGAGCCCTGCTTACCTCTGCTGCCTTCTGCTGACGATGGTTGTAGAGGTGTCTCTTGCACCTTGTGAAAGAGGGTATGTGTTGCCATTGGTGCCCTCAGATGGCCCCCTTTAGGGAATGCTTTGGTTTTACTGGCTGCCCCTTTCCTCTGTCACTGGCTGCTGCTGGCTCCTGTCCTGCCCTTTCTCCTCTCCATCACCTGCCTTTGGCCACAGCCTGTCCCAGGGCTGAGCTTCGTTCTCCCAGTCAGAGAACAGCCTGGATCTGAATAAGACTATGGAGCATGTCCTCCTGGCCATGCAGTGCTCCATGCCCAGGGAGGACATGTTGGTGGATGGGGAAAGCCGGGCAGGATTTACCAAGACCAAGTCATGCCTGTCCAACCTACCTGTGTGGTGGGAATACTGGGCTGTGTTCAAGAGGAGAGCAATGGGGGAAGTTTACCATGAACCTCTGAGGTCTAGGGCATGGTTTCCTATAGTCTACTTGCTGGCAGAGTGGGGAGATGTGGCCAGGAGAGTAGAAAAGAAGGTGGAAACCTGCATAGCAGGAGGGCTTCAGGGGGTGTAAGCATCACCTTATCCAGCTGCAACACCCCTGTGGGTTGGAGCCTGGGGCTGGCACTCCTTGAAGCCTTCACCAGTGCCTTGGATGATGGGATGGAGATGGTCTCAGCCAGCTGGGTGGCAATATCAAACTGGGCAGTAATGGGCATACCAGAGGGCAGGACTGGTGTTCAGAGGGGCCTGAAGGAACACTGATGGAGCTGGCTGATGTTGGATGGGGGAAAGGGTGAGTCCTGCCACTGGGAAGGAAGGAGAAACCTGACGTGTCAAGATGGGCAAGGAATGAGCCATGCTGAACAGGCCTGGGGACCCTGAGTTATAGGCTAGACAGCAGCATGTCCTTATGGTGGAGCCCAATGACACTGTGGGCAGTGGCGGCTGGAGCTCAGAGCTCCAGGGGCAGGGAGCCTGCTCCTATCTGGGCACCAGGGAAAGTATGTCTGGGTTCCCCAGGATAAGCCAGACATGGCAAGTCCTCGTTTTGCACGCTGGCTGAGATTGCAAGGGACCTTCTGCAATCCTATCCCCACCTCTGAGCCTCACTGTGCCTTGGGCTGGCTCCATCAGCCTCCTTCCACACCTCCTCCCCTGGGAGCTGCCCACGTTCATCTTAGCAAAGGGGTCCCTAACTCATCCTCCCCCTGCAGAGATACTGAGCGACACAGGGAGGGTCAGCCCTGGCCTGGGCTCCCCCCACAACCAGCATGGGGAAAGAGCTCCCTCCTCATCCCCCTTGGCACCTCAGATCCCACCATTATCTTAGGAATATTTCTCCCATGGTGGCAATATCTTAGGGATAATTCTCCCCTTTCCCTGGTGTTCCCAGGCCTCTCCAGTGCTTCCCCTTCTCTCCCACTGTTTCAAGGCTCCGTGCTGCACTCCCGTTTTCCCCATGGCCATGGGGCTCTCTTATCCAACCCTGTGGTCTCAGGAATCATCAGTACCTTTTCCTCCCACAGTCTCAGGGCCTCATACACCCCACAACGTCTCAGGGCTCCACAGCAGCTTCTCCATGCTGAAGGCACTGCTGCCTGCATCCTCCGTAGGCAAGGCCCAGCCCAAAGACCTGAGCAGGTGATGGAGGCAGGAGGAAGGGCAGGATGGGAGCTGCCAACGCTGAAAAAAAGGAACAGGCAGTAAATCCAAAGGACTCCTTGAAGAGGAGAGGTCGGGGACATCTCTGGCATTGACCCCCAGCTCCAAGAAGATGCAAACTTCACTTCTGGCACCAGTGCATGCTGGCAGCCTTGGGGAGCACAGAAGGCAGGAGCTGGGCTGTGTATCAGAGTCTTGGGTCACTGTGAGCTTCACTGGCACAGGGACACTCAGAGGAACAGTGCAAGGTGGTATAAGTGTAAGCTTGAGTATGAGAGAGGGTAAAAAGGTCTATTTCTGTGAGTCTTACTTTAAAATACAGACACCCTTTCCCAGTGCTTTGCAATGCGAGCACAGGGGAGGGTCTTAGGGTGTACCCCCAGCTCCTGTCTCCATGTGCTGTGACCAAGTGTACAGTCAGTTCTTCACTAGGAGAGGATGGAGAGTCTCGGATGCGCTGCTGAGCTTCAGGAACTGCTCACAGACCCACTGGTACATTATCTGTCAATTTGAAGTCTGCCTTTTGCCCTTATACGACAGTGGGCATTTAAGAAGATAAGATGGTAAGATAAAATAAGATCTAAGGTAGCTTGCATAGGAGAGAAGGCATGTCTCAGAGGAGTAGCAGCAGCATCCTCACTGTGGATGCTTCTTCCCAGTGCCATTGGGGCAGGCAGGAGAGTCTGAGGAAGGGCCACATTCCTCCCTCCCAGCCTCCCACTGCGCCACTTGAAGATCTGGCAGTGCACAATGTGGGAGCAGGACTCTGCACAGGGACCCTGCCTTGGGGAACCACTTGTTAGAGCATGTCACCACTGCGGGTGAAACGGCAACCTTCCTCTATGGCTAAAGGGCAGATGTTGGTGTCAAGGACTGCACCTGCAAGTAGAGCTGTTGGCTGTCCTGCCATACAACAGTGCTCTACACATCAGAAGAAAAGGGCACAACAACCCAATCCCAGAGACAGGACAGATGCCAGGGCAGTGCCCAGCACGTCTACCCATTGCGCGTTCCCAGGAGGTGTGCCGCAGGCTGCAGGTGACCTGTCAGTATGGGCAACAGGCACAGGGATGGGCACGGGTACCAGGGACCGACCCGCGTTTGCAACCCAAAGAGTTGTGGTCAATGGCTCGGTGTCCGGCTGGAGACCAGTAACGAGTGGTGTCCCTCAGGGATCAGTGTTGGGACCGGTCTTGTTCAACATCTTTGTCGCTGACACGGACAGTGGGATTGAGTGCGCCCTCAGCAAGTTTGCCGATGACACCAAGCTGTGTGGTTCGGTTGATACGCTGGAGGGAAGGAATGCCATCCAGAGGGACCTTGACACGCTTGTGAGGTGCGCTGATGCCAACCTCAGGAAGCTTAACCATGCCAAGTGCAAGGTCCTACACCTGGGTGGGAGCAATCCCAGGCACAGCTACAGGCTGGGCAGAGAAGAGATTTAGAGCAGCCCTGCAGAGAAGCACTTGGGGGTGCTGGTCGATGAGAAAATGAACATGAGCTGGCTTCAGTGTGTGCTTGCAGCCCAGAAAGCAACCGTATCCTGGGCTGCATCAAAAGGAGTGTGACCAGCAGCAGGTCGAAGGAGGTGATCCTGCCCCTCTACTCTGCTCTTGTGAGACCTCACTCGGAGTATTGTGTGCAGTTCTGGTGTCCTCAGCATAAAAAGGACATGGAACTGTTGGAACAAGTCCAGAGGAGGCCACGAGGATGATCAGGGGACGGGAGCAGCTCCTGTATGAAGATCGGCTGAGAAAGTTGGGGCTGTTCAGCTTGGAGAAGAGAAGGCTGCGTGGAGACCTCATAGCAGCCTTTCAGTATCTGAAGGGGGCCTATAGGGATGCTGGGGAGGGAATCTTCATTAGGAATTGTAGTGATAGGACAAGGGGTAATGGGTTCAAAGTGAAACAGGAGAAGTTCAGGTTAGGTATAAGGAGGAAGTTCTTTACTGTAGTAAGTGTGGTGAAGCACTGGAATGGGTTGCCCAGGGAAGTTGTGAATGCTCCATCCCTGGCTGTGTTCAAGGACAGGTTGGACAGAGCCTTGAGCAACACGGTCTAGTGTGAAGCAACCCTGCCCATGGCAGACGGTTGGAACTGGATGATCTTAAGGTCCTTTCCAACCCAAACCATTCTATGATTCTATGAATCTGTATGCCTTTAAAATAGCTTTCCAGTGCAATAGCTTTGGAGAACAACAGTATACAGGAATGTGGCTGTGCAGGAGGGAAAATGTGTCTCTGCTGTGCACCCTGCGCTCCAATCACTCTGATGTATGGTGGAAATGGTGTTCCAGAGTTACCACTTGGCTGGGAGAGGAGGGACGGTCTTGGACGTGCTCCTCACATCTGGCAGCTTCTCACAGATCCATGGCAATTTTCTCAAGCAGTCGAGTCTTTCCATTTTACCATAGGATATTCGTGGACAGACCCAACTTCTGTTCCAAGAAGGGAGGGAACACGTGAGAGGTGCCATCACCGTGCTCTCATCCTGCTACCACCATGCTGTACCCCACACAGCTGCAGCCTCAGGGCCCCTTAGCTTGGGCAGGAGGATCAGGCCACTGCCCTCGTTCAAGCATTAGTCCCATGTCAAGGACAGATGCCAGGGCAGTGCCCAGAGCATTTCCCCATGGCTGGTGAAGCTGCGAGAGATGCAGGTGTCCAAGATGGAACAACTTGCTCTTTATATGGCCATCCATACCTGTCCTCACGTGAATCGGGATGACCTCTGTATCTCTCCCCGACCCAGTACACGGCGCCATTCCCCTGCATGAAGAGTTGGGGGGAGAGAAGCTGTCAACCTCCTGCCCCATGCCCAGAGCCCACCGGGTGCCCGAGAGTCCTGGATCTGGCGGTGCCACCCAGCACCTCTGCAGCGCTGCTGCTGCTGGATCTGCCCACCCCAGCATTGCCCCCAGCCCTGCGGTGCTGCAGCCCCTCTGCTCTGTACCGGCGCTGTCCACGATGCCCAGTCGGCTTGGACCAGCAGCTGGGCGGATGTCCTCTGGCAGTATTGATGGCTGTCCCTCCACGTCTTGCTCTCCACGGAGATGAAGAGGCACTTGCCCCTGTAGAGCACCCAGCCCGAGGGGCAGCACTCTGGGGACAGGGGCACGGCTCAGGCGCTCGCCGTCACAAGGATGCTGGGGGGGGGCCCCATCCTGTCCGGGCTGAGCCCCTCATCTCCCCGGCAGCATCCCCGCCCGTCCCGCAGCCCGGCACGGCCCTACCCGTGTTCACGCAGGCGCGCAGGCTGGCCACGGTGCTCTGGCTGTTGTTGAGCTCTCCCTGCAGGCGCTGCACATCCCTGTGCAGCTCGGCCAGCTCCTGCCTGGCGCGCCCCAGCTCCATGTCCTGCCGCTCCAGCGCCGCTCGGCTGCTGTTGCCGTCCCGCCAGGCGCGCCCCAGCTCCGCTCTGGCCCTCCCCAGCTCCAGCCGCGTCTGCTCCAGGCGCTGCTCCCGGGCGCTCAGCTCCTGCTCCAGGCGGCCCTGCTCGGCCGCGTGCTCCCGGGAGGCGTCCCGCAGGCTGCGGGTGACCTGCCAGTCTGGGCACGGGCACAGGGATGGGCACGGCGCTGGCACAGCCGGGGCACGGGCACCAGCGCCCGACCCGCGCACCCAGGGCCATGGCGAGGGACACGGGATGGGGGTGCTGGGATGTGGGCAGGGACTGTGCTGGAGTGCCGGTGGGAAGGGAAGGGTCTGTGGGGGTAAGTGGAAGGGAGGCAATTTGTGGCAGTGGGAGGCAATGGGAAGGCAATGAGAAGAGAGTGGGAAGGAAGTTGGAAGAAATGGGAGAGAAGTGGGAAAGCAGTGCGAAGCAGTAGGAGGCAATGGGGAGGGAATGGCTACGCAATGAGAAGGCAGTGGGAAGAAATCTGGAAGCAATTGGAATGCAATGGGATGGAGTGGGGGGCATTGCAAGGCAATTTGTGGCAGTGGGAGTCATTGGGATGCAATGGGAGGGCAGTGGGAAGCAGTGAGGATGCTGGAAGAGATTGCCCAAAGAACTGGGAAATGCTTCATCCCTGGCAGTGTTCTAGGCCAGGTTGGACAGAGCCTTGGGCAACATGGTCTTGGGCAGGCAGATGTTGGAACTGAGTGATGTTAATGTCCTTTCTTACCCAAACCATTCTGTGATTCTACGATAGGCAGTGAGAAGCAGTGGTAGGCACGGGGAAAGCAATGCAGGCAGACAGGGAAGATTGGGGTGGCCAAGCCAAAAGCAATGTCAGCTCTGGGCCACCAGCCCCCAGCACCCCTCAGCCATGACACCCCCCAGCATCCCAAATCCCGTCCTGATCCTCCCGTTGATCTCCCCCCCCCACTTCACAGCCCTCACCCAGACTCACAGCAGGTCCCCAGGGCCACGGTACCCACCACCAGCAGCACCAGCAGCACCAGCAGGCTGGTGGCCAGCGGCCCCATGGGGACACGCCAGCGCCGGGGACATCGCCCTGCAAAAGGTGACATGAGATGAGATGAGATGAGCTGAGCTATGAGCACAGCATCACCCATGGTCCCACTGCCTCTCCCCACTGCCCACCCTACCCCACAGTATCTCCATGTCGGTGGCCGGGCTCTGACCTGGGCTGGGCTCTGCAGGCACCGTCCCCAGCAGCACGTTCTCGTAGGGGCTGTCGTCCTCATCAGGGGCTGGGGGGCAGGAGGGCACGGCCAGCGGTGGGGATGCTGTGAACTTCAGGTCGGCGTAGACCACGCTCTGGGCCATGCTCTGTGCTGCCCCGGCGGCTCTGGTGGCTCCTGCTCTCTCAGGGGTGCAAGAGAGAAGCGCAGCTGGTTTCTGCGGAAGTGTAAGTTTGCTGTGAGGTGCAGCAGGAAATCCCAACCTCAGGGCCCAGTGCCCTACCATTGGCCCTGACATCACCATCCTGTCCCCTTCCACACCCCCGGTCTGCTCAGGGTCCCCAGGGATGGCAGCACGATGCTGCGCTTGGTGTTGGGGTGCTGGGGAGGACTGCCAGATTCAGCTTACTGAGAGTCAACCTGAGGGCCTCCTTCCACATGGAAACATGTGGCTCTGGTGCTGGCCCCCTCCAGGATGGTGGTCCTCACTCTCTATATTCTGCTCCAGGGTTTAAGCATCACTGTTGCGCATAAATGTTTGCCTGATGCCTAAAAGGGTTTCCACATTGTAGCGTGAGCTCTTGCTCTTCTCTCCTTTCCCTGGCCACATCTTTCCCATTGTTCCAGCAAGAAGTATGGACCACAGGGAAAGCCATATCCCAGACATCAAAGGGTAAACAGTCCCCAGCGCAGTGCTCTGATGGCAGTAGGCAGGCAGATGCTATTTGCCCTTGGTAAACCCTGCTGAGCTTCCGCCAGCCTCAACCATGTTCTCCCCAGGTCTGGACTACTGTGCTCCCTTGGAGGATACGCTCCATCTCCTTCCTGGGTATCGGGTGGGAGTCGCTCAATGTTTGGCTTTGCAAACCTCTTTCTGTCCTCTTCAAAGCTGGCCATGATTTTTAGCTTTCTCCAGTGATGAAGGACTTCTCCTGTTCTTGCAGAGATAATGGAGAGCACAGCCTTGCAACACAACAACTCTTCTGCACCCCTCCATTGTCCGAGGAGCTGGCTGTGTCCAGATGTGCCCAGCTGTTCCCCACCTTTCTGAAACCTGCCTTTCTCTGGATGCAGTTCAGCAGAGACCTCAGAGATGCTGAGGGGCTGGAGGCTGGGGCCAAGGAGGAGATGCTGGGGTTGTGTGCTGGGGTTGGGAAGGCAAAGCTGGTGCTGTTACTCTGTGCATCTTCCTGGGAGGGTCTGAGGTGATGCTGTTAAAGGCAGAAGTTCTTTACTGTGAGGGTGGGGAGGCACTGGAACAGGCTGCCCAAAGAAGTGATAAATGCTCCATCACTGGAGTGTTCAAGGCCAGGTTTGGCAGAGACTTGGGTGATGTGGTCTAGGGTGAGGTGTCCTTGCCCATGGCATGGGGTTGGAACTGGATGATCTTAAGGTCCTTTCCAACCCTAACCATTCTCATTCTATGGTTCTATGAAGCCGAGTTCTTCTAGGAGGTGACCGGGGACAGGACAAGAGGCAGCTCCACAAGCTACATCACAGGGAAATTCCCATTCCCAGAGGCCAGAAGAGGACATCAGCATCCATGAAGCCCTCCATCCCTCCACAGAGCTGTCCCCAGCGCAGTGTGCTACTGTGCCCAGCCTGGCCCCCAGCTCCTTCATGGCCCAGGGATTTGGGTCTACCCTTACTCTACCACTGCCCCGACCTCAGGCCGTGCTGCCCTGGCCCTACCATGTGCTTGTGGGGACCATGAGCACTTTTGAGGTGTGGGAGGGGATGGGCCGGTGGTGCTTGGACCAATGGGAGGGTGCTGGTCCCCACAGCCGTGCCTCGCTGGTCCTGTCTGCTGCAGCTCAGAGCAAACTTCTGCTTCTGCAGGTGCTGCCCACACTTCTCCTTTGCACCCCTGTGGAACGGTGCAACCACCGAGGAGCAGGACCACCGCACGAAGGCATCCCAAGGGCAGGGTGGGAGCCAGCAGGGCTCAGGGCTTGCCCACATGGCCCAGAGCTTGGTTTATGCTGACCTGAGGGTTGCCAAAGTGATGGGGGGCCGGGGCATGGCCAGCCAGGCGCTGGAGTCAGGTGAGAGGCCATGGGATCCCCAGGCTGCCCCTGCCATGCCCATCCCTGTGGATTCAGCCTCTCTCCCTTACTTCCTCCAACAGCCCTTGGCATGGATGTGGCAGAGAGCCCCTACGAGAACATGAGGACAGCACCAGTGGCACAGGATGGGTCTGAGGACCAGCCCAGCACAGGTAAGTGCATGGCTGGAGCCCAGGAGATGCTGCCACGGGTCGTGGGAGGTGATTTGGGGTGTTCCTGCTCCCATTCTTGAAGAGAGGAAGCGCCCACACCATGGCACTGGTGCCACCACGCAGCGGGTCTGTGGGCTGACGGGGCTTTCCTGGCTCACCAAGTGATGCCTGCTGTGGTCTGCTGTGTCTTGCAGGGCACTGGTCCTGTCGGTGGTGTCTCCCTGCAGGGCTGATAGCAACCTGCCTGCTGCTGCTGGTGGCCACCGTGGCACTGGGGGTTTCCTGTGAGTCTAGGGGGGGAACTGTTGTGGGGCTGGGGTGGTTGGGCAGCATGGGGAGAGGGATGCTGCTGTGGGTGAGCAGGGATGTGGTAGAAGCATGCCCAGGCACACTCCTCATGGCTGAGTCACTGTGCTGTGCCACAAACTGGTCTGTATCCCTCACACACCATGTGTGTCCAGCTTGCCTTCTGTCACTCATCTTCCACACCTTGCTCTCTGGTTCTGCTCATGGCCCTTTCCTTCCAGACGCTGGTCAGCCTCCTATCACTGCATCCGCCCTGCGTCTGCCCTGCTCTGTCTGCTCCTACCCCCTGTCCTGCCTTGACCTGATCTCCCCTGTCAGGTCCTGAGCAGTTCCCTGCTGTGTCTTTCCCATCCTTTGGGATGGTCATGTCCCTGCCTTGCTCTGCACACCCTACTTCTCAAGCAGGGTCAGTTCCACATCCCCCTGCTTGGGCTGTCCCACTCCCTCCCCTTGCCTCCCACTCCCTTCCCGTTGCCTTCCATTTACTACAACTGCATTCCCATCGCCTCTCACTGCCTCCCAATGCTTTCCTGATGCTCCTACTGCCTTCTGCTGCCCTCCCATTGCCTTCCATTCACTACAACTGCCTTCCCATTGCCTCTCACTGCCTCCCAATGCTTTCCTGATGCTCTCCCATTGCCTTCTGCTGCCCTCCCATTGCCTTCCATTCACTACAACTGCCTTCCCATTGCCTCCCACTGCCTTCCCATTGCCTCCGTGACATCTTGATGTCCCCTATTGCCTTCGGCTGCCTTCCCATTGCCTCCCAGTGACATCTTGATGTCTTCTATTGCCTTCCACTGCCTACCCGTTGCCTTCCATTCACTACAACTGCCTTCCCATTGCCTCTCACTGCCTCCCAATGCTTTCCTGATGCTCTCCCATTGCCTTCTGCTGCCCTCCATTCCCAACCATTCACTACAACTGCCTTCCCATTGCCTCCCACTGCCTTCCCATTGCCTCCGTGACATCTTGATGTCCCCTATTGCCTTCGGCTGCCTTCCCATTGCCTCCCAGTGACATCTTGATGTCTTCTATTGCCTTCCACTGCCTACCCGTTGCCTTCCATTCGCTACAACTGCCTTCCCATTGCCTTCCATTTACTACAACTGCCTTCCCATTGCCTTCCACTGCCTTCCACTGCCTTCCCATTGCCTCCCAGTGACATCTTGATGTCTTCTATTGCCTTCCGCTGCCTACCTGTTGCCTTCCATTCGCTACAACTGCCTTCCCATTGCCTTCCATTCACTACAACTGCCTTCCCATTGCCTTCCCATTGCCTTCCACTGCCTTCCCGTTGCCTCCCAGTGACTTCTTGATGTCTCCTATTGCCTTCTGCTGCCTTCCCATTGCCTTCCATTCACTACAACTTCCTTCCCATTGCCTCTCACTGCCTTCCACTACCTTCCTGTTGCCTTCCATTCACTACAACTGCCTTCCCGTTGCCTCCCACTGCCTTCCACTGCCTTCCAATTGCCTCCCAGTGACTTCTTGATGTCTCCTCTTGCCTTCTGCTGCCTTCCCATTGCCTTCCATTCACTACAACTTCCTTCCCATTGCCTCTCACTGCCTTCCACTGCCTTCCCATTGCCTTCCATTCACTACAACTGCCTTCCCATTGCCTCTCACTGCCTTCCCATTGCCTTCCACTGCCTTCCCATTGCCTCCCAGTGACTTCTTGATGTCTCCTATTGCCTTCTGCTGCCTTCCCATTGCCTTCCATTCACTACAACTTCCTTCCCATTGCCTCTCACTGCCTTCCACTGCCTTCCCATTGCCTTCCATTCACTACAACTGCCTTCCCATTGCCTCCCACTGCCTTCCCATTGCCTCCCACTGCCTTGGGCTGCCTTCCCATTGCCCATCCCTGTGCCTGTGCCCGTGCCCAGACTGGCAGGTCACCCGCAGCCTGCGGGACGCCTCCCGGGAGCACGCGGCCGAGCAGGGCCGCCTGGAGCAGGAGCTGAGCGCCCGGGAGCAGCGCCTGGAGCAGACGCGGCTGGAGCTGGGGAGGGCCAGAGCGGAGCTGGGGCGCGCCTGGCGGGACGGCAACAGCAGCCGAGCGGCGCTGGAGCGGCAGGACATGGAGCTGGGGCGCGCCAGGCAGGAGCTGGCCGAGCTGCGCAGGGATGTGCAGCGCCTGCAGGGAGAGCTCAACAACAGCCAGAGCACCGTGGCCAGCCTGCGCGCCTGCACGGCCATAGGTGGGTTGGTGGTGGATGGGCACTGGCACCCCACTGGCTCTTTTGTCCACGTGGTGGGAACTTGGTGGTCTAAAGCTGTCTGGATGAGACGCTGAGCCTGTGATGTCTGCTGGGGTGATGTGGGGCTGTTCGTGGTCCTCACGCAAGGCATCTGTGGCTGAGCAAGCACCTGAGTGGTGCCCTTGCCCCCAGATTGCTGCCCTTCGGGCTGGCTGCTGTATAGGGGCAAGTGCCTCTTCATCTCGTCGGAGAAGAAGACATGGGAGGACAGCAGAGATGAGTGTGAGAAGAAATATTCTCAGCTCCTGATCACCAAATCCTGGAGTCGCTGGACTGTGCCGGTAGGATGCTGTGGGAGATGAGAGCATCCAGCCCTGGGGTCCTCAGGTCAGCCAGCACTGCCCCTGGCCTGCCAAGACACTGCAGGGTGGAAGGCTGATCTCTGCAGCACATAGCTGGTGGTGGACATGGGGGACAGAGGCTCTGACACACTGGGACGGTACCCAAACTGGAGCAAAGCACCATCTGTCCTGTCTCAGCCCCAGAGGCTTCCTGGGGAGATCACCACCCCATACAAACCCCACAGCACAAAGGCACTGAAAGGCCCCTTTTCTTCTTCCCCAGACCTTCCTGAGGAACACAGACATCCCATACTGGATTGGGCTACAGAAGAGCATCTTCCCTTGGTATGACTACGGCTGGCTGGAGGAAGAGGACCCCGATGAAAAGGGGGTCTCGGACGCCTGGTTCTGGGTGGATGGCTCCATTTATGAAAGGTACCAGGAGCACAGCCTCTTGTCAAAACCCCTCTCCTCCATCGTAGCTTTAGGAAATATTCTGAATCCCACTGGTAACCAACCCCAGGCACAAGCATAAAGAGCATCAAAGCAGTTGAGGCCAAGGGTAGGTGGGCACAGTGGTGCGATGAGATGCTTAGAGGAGGTGCAAATGGAAAGCCAAGACTTGGGGGGATATGTGCGGGGTATGTGCAAGCAGGAGGCAGCGAGAGGAGGCAAAGAGCCACCAGTTTTATGTGAGGCCTGGACAAACGGTTCCAGCACCACCTCTATTCCCTGTGTGCTTCCCTGCTCCAATCTGGAGGGAAAATCAGTGGCTTCCTGCCACGTGCACCCCTTCCCCAGCTCACCACCGCTTCCTCTTGCAGTGTCTGAGAGCAGTGGGGAGGAACAGACCCATCTGGGTACCCAGCCCCTGTCCCTCCGTCCACATCCTCACACTGAGGTCTGCATCCCACTGTACCCCACAGCGCTGGGCAGCTCCTCTTGACATGCACATGCCCTAAGGGAGGACCAGGACCAAGGTTCCTCAGCTGCCCAGGGAAGGGCAGGGATGCATCTGCTGAGGGTTCAGCTGTGAAATGAGTAGGGGAGGGTTGGGGATCCCCCCTTTGACTGCAGCATTCAACCCCTCCTCTGTGAGGGTACAAGAGGCAGCCTCAGCAGAGGGTGGTGTATAGGGCAGCCCCCTGATGTGTTGTCTCCCCATCCAGGCCATGGCAGTCGAAGTCAAACGGGTCCTGTGCCATAATAAGCCATGGGAACATCAAACCTGCCCAGTGCGCTGGTCCCGATGACCTGCACCTCTGGATCTGTGAGAAGGCAGCAGGGCCAAGCAACCCTTTCATGGGATAATGGCTGCTGGCCCAGCATCGCTGTGGTGAGTGTAGTGTGCCCAGGACAGGCTCTGTCAAGCCTAGGGAGAATGGGGCACATGGGGGGGGGGAGTATGGGGAGAGTGGGGAGCCTGCCATGTTGACTCTGTCCGATGGGAAGGGATGCAGGCCAGACAGAGTCTACCTCCATCCCTTTGTTGCCATGGCACCCTTTGAACTGCGGTAGCCCAGGAGGCCCCACCAAGTGTGGTGCAGCAAAGGGGCAAGATGGGAGAAACCCCTTTGCAGGCTGCTTTCCCAGCCCTGCTGCGTGCATCTCACCCTCTGCCTTCTCTTGCAGTACCTGGACCCCACAACAGCCTTTGCTTCAGCCTCACTCCACCCCTTCCTGGGATGTCCCATCCATGCGAGCAACCCGCTTCCCTCTCACAGACCCTACCCAGGTCCTTCCCAGTGATGCTCCAGCATCACACAGGCTGGGGAGGCGGCAGCAGTGGCCGTTTGCCCTGGCTGATGTGCTTCAGCAGAGCAGTACAGACCCCACAGCCCAGCCCCACACCTGCATGAGGTCTTCCAGAGCACAGGGGCTGGTGTGTGATGAGTGCAGAGCAGAGCAAGAGTTGATGATGCTCAGCACTGCAACACCCCCAGCAAAGAGCGAGCTGTGGTGCTGGCACATCAGGACATGGGACCGGGGACCAGCACAGCCCCACACCAGGACCGGTCCTCTCCCCACTGCAAGGACCTCCAGCCTGGCCCCATCACAGGGGCAGCTTGGCCATGGCTTTCACAGGACTGGGGAAGCAGCATCTTCAGCACCCAAGGAGGGAGGCTGCACCTCATCTGCGCTGGCTGTTGGGTTTTTTGCTAATTAGAATTTAGAGCAATGACCTTTATGATTGCACGATGCGGTGGTGCCTTGTAAAAGCAGCTTTGGCACTTGTGCTCGACCAACGTGCAAGACAACGTATCGGGACTTTAAATAGTCACTGCACATGTGCACATGTGAAGATTAAGCAAAACAGCCCTGATGTAACATCACCACCAGGCGAGAGCAGAGGAAGTCATGTTCAACCAGGCGAACATGTCCTCAGTTTATTATGGGGTCGTGAGTGCCATATATAGCTGATTAATTGCTATGTGAATTAGCTTGCTTGAAGAGCAGAAGGGTGTTAAAGGCAGGCGTTCTGGAGGTGGCACATGTCACTCCTCTGTCTTGTCCGCTGGCTGAACCCATTTGTAGCAATAAAGAGACAGGGCTTGTCTGCTCTTTGCTTCCTTGTGCACCATAACAACTCAGGGGCATGAACCCAAAGAACCTAGATAATAAAGGGGAATCAAAGCCATTTCAACCCAGATGGCCACTTTGGGGATACTGAGATCTTGGCCTGAGCCAGGCTGATTTGTGGTCCCCAAGCCAGAAGCCCCAGCCAAATGTGTGTAAACTCTCAGGGCCGCATCAGATGCACAAGAAAGAGACAGGAGCCCAGGTTTCTAGGACATTCATTTCTTATTGAACACTTTAAATAAGCCGTGTATATATTACTAGCAATTATTATTATTATTGATAGTAATAAAACCCACAAGAGTTCAGCATTCACCAGTGCATTGTGCAGGAGGAAGGAAAGCTGGCTCCCACCCTTGCCAGGGGCTGGGCAGCTCCTTCCCCCCTCTGCCAGCACCCTGCTCCCAACCCTGTGTGCTGGGGGCACAGCGGGTGCCGTGCTGGCTCAGCACCCAACCCCAGCATAGGGCAGGCAGGGGCAACCCCAGTGCTGGCAATCATCCCCGTGCACTGCTCCATGTGCATTGCCCCGCTCCTGCTAGCCTCTCCCCGTGTCAGGGGCTGGCTGTGCTCCCCACGCTTGTAGGGAAGCATGGGAACACCCCCCAGCCCCACAAGGTCCCCCAACACACGCAGACCCCCCGACCCCTCTTCCCCCAGCCCTGCTCACCCCCTGGGTACAGGAGCTCCCAGTTCTCCCAGGGCAGCAGGCTTGCTGTGCACCCCTCCACAACAGCCCGCAGAAGGGTGAGCCCTTGGGGAAGGGGGGTGCTGCACCCAGGGTTTGAGCCCCATGGGGCACCAGCCCTGCCACCCAGGCAGTGCTGGAGCACGCTCAGGGCTGGGGGGTGTTATTGCACTTCAGTCCCCAGCAGGGTCCCAGCCCACCCCACAGCTCCCCATAGACCCCCGAGAACCATCCAGGTGGGATGGGTGCCTGAGCTCCTCCGTGGCACCACAGTACCCGTGGCATGGGGCACCGCAGCCGCCGGTGGCCACCAAGCACTGAGCCAGTGAGGGCAGACCATGAGGACACAGCAGGCTCCTGTGCCAAGGGATCTGTGGGGCAGCTGGACTCAGCCTGGGAACCCCGGTACTACGTCTATGCCTCTGGCAGCTTCAGACCTGGCTCCGCCAGTACCGGCCCTGGGGCTTTCTGGTGGCGTAAGAGGCTCTTGGACTCACAGTTGAGGTTCTGGTAGTGGGGTGGGCTGGGTGCCGGCCGGTGGCAGAGAGAGAGGAAGCTGAAGCTGAAGAGCGTCAGGCAGCACCCAGGACAAGGCAGCACCTCATCCTGCTCCAGCACAGCACCGGAGCCGTGCCCAGGCAGCATGGCCGCACGCTCCGTCCTCTCCATCGCCGCCGCGCAGGGGATGCTGAGCTCGGAGAAGCCGTGCTCCAGCTCGCTGCCCCATGCCAGGGGTTTACTGATCACCACGTGGTTGTTGTTGAAGAGGAGCCTGTCGGGGGCCCGCGGCTCCGGCTGCCAGAGCCGGCCTCCCGAGGACGCCGTGCGGATGAAGTTGTTGTTGGGGGGTAACAAGGGGAGCTGCGGGGCGTGAGGGCTGTCGGGGCTGCAGTCCATGTGCTTCAATGGCCTGGCGCTGGGGGGAGAGGCTCGTCCCCGAGCTGGAGGTGGAAGGAGAGCCGGGGGCTGGAGGTCACCAGTGGGATGGGGGGACCCCACATCCAGCTCCAGCCCCCCCCTGCGGGGCAGCTCGGGGGAGGTGGGCAGCGAGTGGCACTTGCGGGGAGCAGCGGCGGGGGCCGAGAAGTCACACTGCACCTCCACGGCGGGCTCGGGGGTCACCGGGGTGCTGAGCTGCAGCGGGGCAGGGGGGGGCAGGTCGAACGTGAGGGAGATGACGGACTTGCTCGGCGTGTCGAAGAGCTTGATTTTGCCCCCCTTGAGGTCCTCGCGCTGGGAGAAGGGATTGATGCGGGGGGACGCCTCCCTGGTCCTGGCCCCGGCCCCGCTGTAAGGCTCCAGCGGCTGCAGCAGGGTGGGTGATTTCGGGGGGAACACGTCGGACTGGCTGCGGGATAGGCGCTGGTCCTGCGGCTGTAGGTGCTGTGTCGCCAGCTCGCGCAGGGGTGACTGCTCGGAGCGGCTGGGTACCCTCTTGGATGCCCCTGGATGTGAGCACGGGAGCTGGTCACCAGCTGCTGGTGGGGGGTGCTATGGGGTTCTGGGCACCCAACAACACAGAGGTGCACCCCAAGTGCAGACCTCATGCAACCCTGGTCTCCTTCCCCTACAGCTTCCAGGATAGGATGGGACACCCCACATAGAATGGTTAGGGTTGGAAAGGACCTTAAGGTCATCAAGGTCCAACCCCCCTGCCATGGGCAGGGACACCTCACACTAAACCATGTCACCCAAGGCTCTGTCCAGCCTGGCCTTGAACACCGTGAGGGATGGAGCATTCACAACCTCCTTGGGCAACCCATTCCAGCGCCTCACCACCCTAACAGGAAAGAACATGCCCCCTCCTTGCACACCCCCATGGCCTGTTCCCAGGGCGCCCTCCTACCAGTGAGCGTGGCTGCTGTCGCAGGCATGGGCAGGCTCTCCCCAGTGCTGAAGACGGTGTCCCCAGTGTCCTCGGCACCCAGCTGGTGCTGCAGGATGCCCTCCAGGCACTGTGTGATTTCCAGGAATGAGGGGCGGGAGGTGGGCTCCATCTGTGGGGAGGAGGAGGGGTTCCCGGTCAGATCTGCCCATGCACCCCACGCACAAAGGTAGGGAAGGGCAGGGGGGACGGGAGGCTCACACTGCAGCAGTGGAAAGCGAGCTGGAGGAAGGCCGCCGGGCAGTCGATGCCCACCATGGTGCGGAAGGTGGTGACGTCCAGACCAAAATCCTGAGTCAGGGAAAAGAAGAGGAGTGAGGCTGGGTCCCCTGGACACCACATGGGATCCGGGATGGCCAGGTCCCCCCCCTCCCTGCATTGACTGCATGTCACCAAGGGCTGTGGACCTGGCTACACCCCTCTGGAGGGTCCCCAAGTTGGGGCAAAGCTGGGGGATGCTGAGACACAGACCCTGCTCTCTGCCTCATGAGTGTCCCCTTCTCCCACCCAGGCTGACCATGGACTCTGAGGACAGGTTATAGGCAGAAAGCATCCCTGCCTGGGCAGCAATCAGGACACAGCGTCCAGCTCTGAGATGCAGGCAGCTCCTGCACACAGGGCTCTGCCCAGCACAGAATGGTCCCCTTCATTTGGTAAAGCAGTCCCTCTGCTTTACCCTGTGTCCCACCACTGTCCCCCCCATCCCAGGGAGTCACCTCAGTGCGGGGCAGGTAGTCGGGGTCAGCAGGGACACGAGCGATGGTCTCGCACAGGATGATGCCGTACGCAAACACATCAGCCTGCAGAGAGAAGGGGGTGATGGGGGGCTCTGCAGCCCCAATGAGATGGGCCCATCATTCCACGAACCCACAGCCTCCCTCCTCCCTGCAGAGCCATCCCAAGGGCCCTGCCACCCCACCACCCAGTTTCTTCCCTCTGTGAAGACCCAGGGCTGCAAAGCTCTGGCAGCACAAGCCTGGATAAAGCCCCAGGCATGGCACACACAGAGCCTCACCTTCTCGTTGTAGATCTCCCCTCGGAGCACCTCAGGCGCCATCCAGTACGGGGAGCCCACCACAGCCAGTGGCTCCTTCTCGCTGCCTTCACTGGGGGACATGGTGGGACATCAGGGACTACCCGCAACCCCCCTGCCCAACCTCCCATCCTCCCACTGGGACAGCCCAAACCACCACCTCCATCTCCCTCCCTCCATCTCTGCATACCCACACCTTCTCCATCCCC